ACTAACTGAGCAGCTGGACCCACTAACTGAGCAGCTGGACCCACTAACTGAGCAGCTGGACCACTAACTGAGCAGCTGGACCACTAAATGAGAGGCCAACACTGGCAAATGAGAAGGAGACTATGCATTTGTGTTAGCATCCTAAAGGATATCGACTAGCATGGATAAGCTGGTGTTACCATCCGAGAGGCTAGCAACTAGCAAGGATAAGCTGGTGTTAGCATCGGAGAGGCTAGCAACTAGCATGGATAAGCTGGTGTTAGCATCAGAGAGGCTAGCTACTAGCATGGATAAGCTGGTGTTAGCATCAGAGAGGCTAGMKACTAGCATGGATAAGCTGGTGTTAGCATCAGAGAGGCTAGCAACTAGCAAGGATAAGCTGGTGTTAGCATCGGAGAGGCTAGCCACTGAGCAGTCTTGTCATGCTAGTCACTAGCCTCTCTGATGCTAACACAAATGAACAGTCTCCTTCTCATTTGCCAGCGGCTCAGTTAGCGGTGCCGGCCYRTCATTAATCAGATCAACAGCTGGTCAGGAACAGATATATCCTCCTGCTACAGGGACGTACAACCACTGGTACAGTCTTAATTTTGGCTGTTCACACCGAGACATGTCCCAGAGGACCAYGGTCGTACCGGAGTGGATCCCCGCTCGGATCTGCAGCTGCGTGTTGGGTTTGTGGGGGATCCTGAAGGTGCGACAGACCCCGACCAGGTCCAGAGCCATGCTGGCGATCTCTGAGGCGTGGAGGATCCCGTTCTCCTTGGGAACGCCTGAAACCACCATGTCTGCTCAACCASAGGGAAACACAAGAACAGCAGGTTGCAGCTGTGGAGTGATGTTTGGACTGAAACTGACCGACCTGCAGCTGAATTTATAACCCTGACAKGAAAACACAAAACATGGTGACGATGTGTGGAAAAACAGGGTCTCACAGGCGTCTCCGATGGTCTCCACCTTGTAGACGTCGTGGTTGTCGATGATGTCATCGAAGGTGGTGTAGAGCTTGTTGAGGAAGTCCACCACCTGATAGGGAGTGCTGCTGCTGGACAGCTGCGTGAAACCCACGATGTCACTGCAGACACACACACACACACACACACACACACACACACACACACACACACACACTTTGGACCTTTCTAAATCAAGCATTTCAAAATAAGAGTCTTACAATCCCAGATAAGGCCTCTGCACGCTCCGTCCACACTACAGAAATCAGATTGTCGTATTTTCACGGTGTAACTTCTGCCATTCAGTTTGCAGGTTCAAGCCCCGCCCCCTTCTTCACAGCAACACTTTTTACCTGAAGAAGACGGTGGCGCTGACGTAGCTCTGAGCCTGCAGAGGTTTGCCCTGACGAAGGTCATCAGCCACCTGTTTAGGAAGCATACCTGCAGCACAAACACGTTCCTGCTGAACACCAGCACTTCAGGAGGTCAACAACAACAAAACTAAACAATCTTTAMACATTTCACACTGAAAATGTTCCTGCTCAGATCTTGAGTTGAAGTTAAAGCAGATACGGTGGTCCGGTCATCAGTCAGGGGTCATGCATCTTTTCAGGTTGAGTCTGAATAAAAAGGACTTGTGTCAGACTGTTAGTGTGTCTGTGTCGTACTGTAAAGCAGCCGGTCAGTCTTCTGTTTCTCCAGCATCAGATCCTGAGTCCTCTCAGCCACCAGAACCTCCAGATGYTTACTGTACTTCTCCATCTGCAACCCAGAGAAGCTCAGCTCAGGAGGTTTGATCTGTCGGATTCAGACCTCCTCAGAGTGTTTGTTGTGTTGTTGTTGTGTTACCAGGTTCATCATCATGTCCACCGGGCTGCCTTTGATGGGGTTGATGCGGTGAACAAACTTCTTGATCTGGTCAAAGGTGGGCCGGTGGGCGGGGTTATGAGAGCGACATCGACGAATCAGCTACAGAAACACAACAGGTTCATGGATCATTTCTCACAAAACAACTACACTGTTATTTTTTATTATTTTAATTTTTAAAATCAAACTATAAAAAAACAAGGATTAAACCTAAATGTCTGGATTTATTTGTCAGTTTAGTAGCTATGGACCCTTCAGTAGACCGTATAGGTCAACTTAACAATGCAAGATTACACAACAGAGCAATTGATTAGAAGCGGCGTAGTGGCGTTTGTACGTCAGCGTAGTCCGCAGGACAGGGACAGGTGTTGTCAGCTTTACTGGAGATCAGCTCAGGAAGAGGAGGACACCACGCACACTCCAGGTTAGACTCCTCTGCCTGCAGGACAACAGTACGTTTAATTGGTTTTCTTTTTATACATCTATATTTTATCAGGTCAGACATGGATTGTAACATTTGTAGATGACACGATGATCTTTAGTGAGAGTAGGGAGCAGGTGGAGGAGAATCTGGAGAGGTGCAGTCACACCACCACAGCAGGTGATAACTTGTGCCCGTTTTCCACTAGTGCCACCTAGTGTGTCGGTACGGTCAGCGTCGGAAAGGGTCAGTTCAGGTGCTTTACCATTGGCATTCCAGTCCGGGTCCAGTGGGTGTGTTCTGGGCATTTCCACAGTCCGAAAATTGTCATCACACGTATTTGCCTGATGGTGGCGGCAATGCTGTTTGTAGGCAACCATTAAATGTGGCAGTGGCTAGTGCTTTAGGGCTTTTGCTAGCTCTGACAACTCCTTGAACACTTTTTCGTTGTGAGTCGACTCATCTAGCTCACTTTTAATTTTCTCCTCTGCCACCGAGCACAAAAACTCCTGCACCTCAGCAGTGGACCATGGTGTGGATCTCAGTTCTGCCATTGTGACTGTCACTGCTACAATTGAAAAAATGGCGCCTCGAGTTGATTTTGTAAAGGCAGCTCAGACTCAACCAGTGACTCCACCCCCTAAACAATCAGTGTCAAACAGTGTTCTGATGTTGCATTTTGGTGTCAACTGGGACCGTTTGGAACCACAATGAAGTAGGTACTAAAAACAGGTCTGGTTCCATGAATCTGGCCTAATGGAAATGGCTTGGAACTGTATCGAACCGAGCCAGTCTGAACTGGTACTAGTGGAAAAGGGGCATTACTGAACTTTTATTTTTACAAGATGACTCATTAAACTTTTACTGTTATGTCTAAATAAACTTAAGACTAAATAACCTGGATCAAACCTTGTTGAGAGATTTGGAAACTAAATTAGAAAGAAGAAGGTTTCATTTGGGTAAAGTAGGTAGAAACTGGGACTTACTGGAACAGGGTCGTTGCGAGTGGCTATCTCCAGGAGGATAATGGAATAACTGGAAGTCAAACATCCAGAGCTGAATGGTCAGAAYATCTCAGATTTAAAAACCTATTTAGACAGTTTTTAAAATGTACCAGAACACGTCTCCAGCCAGCGTCGGYTCCATGTTGGAGTTCTGAAACTCAGGTGGCATGTAGACCTCAATGAGCCTCCTCTGATAGGAGGACAGAGGCTCCGCCCCATCATCCCTGCGAAATGTCCTCAGTCCATAGTCTGTGGGAGGACACCACATATTAGATCAAATCTGGTAACTTTGATTRGCAGACYGGGGGCTCGTCCAGAATCCTGTTTAGATCCCGGACGAGCCCCCAATTCCTGYGCATGCTCAGTAAAACCTGTTATTTTGCAGACCCAGCGGTCGTCTAACACACAGTTTGGAGACTTGAGTCGACCATGGCAGATCTTGTGTTGGTGGAGGTACGACATTCCTCTGGCAATGTCAGCGGCGAAGGAAAACCTGGCAGACAGTCACAGGAAGTAAAACTCCACTGTTAGTCCACAGCTGTGTCGYTGCAGCAGCACGGCGTCTGCAGGCGAGAGTTGTGGGCTCACCTGAAGCCCCAGTTGAGAGGGATCTCCTCGTTAAGAAGGACGTCATTAAGGCTTCCCTTCGGGCAATACTCTGTTACAATGGCAACGTTTGGCACCTCGGTACAACCACCAATGAACTTGCAAAGGTTTGGATGATCGAGCTCCCTGGAGAGAGAGAAAGACGAAGGAATATATTTATGGTTTAAGGCGATTCAGTGTGTGTGTGTGTGTGTGTGTGTGTGTGTGTGTGTGTGTGTGTGTGTGTGTGTGTGTGTGTGTGTGTGTGTGTGTTAGTCACCTGACTTGTGTGACTTCCTGTCTGATGGTTTTGGACAGAGAGAAGGTCTTTGTTTGGATCTTTTTGATGGCCACCGTTCTGCCGTCGCTGCAGAGGAASTAAAATGTTCAGGACAGGAAGTAGAACCTGACAGGATGAGGTTTAGACACAGGTGGACTCACTAAATCCCAGTGCAGGTGAACGGGCCCTTCCTGGTTCCTGTTTGGCCGGTACAGGAGCCGAGCGCGGTCAAACAGCTGGTGTTACTGTCGCTGTGTCCAACAGGTACACTAATGATACTTCCCATGGTCAAATGGTCCTGGTCTGTGGAGGGAGAGGCTTCAACTTTAACAGATTAATTAACAGTTTGTGAATTTATGATGAGAAAAATCCAAACCGAGTTTATTTTATGTTCAGAGACAATTTAGAGTTTGTCAGAGTACCTTGTTTAATGGCTGAGAAATCAATRACCCAGCTCTCGTCCCACAGCAGCTTTTCTTTCTGGTATCTCAGCCACTAAATAAACATTTGTAATGTTAATTTCTTTGTAAATGAAAGGGTTTTGCTCACAGATCAGCTGTCTGAGCTCTCACCACGGCGGTCAGTATGAAGGACAGGCAGAGCAGGCTGAGCGGTAAGCCGATGGCCACCTTGGTTGTGGCACTCATGGGACATTCGCCGCAGTCGGCCGGACACGTGGAGCAAAACTCACCTTCCTCACAGATTTTATTGCCACAAACTGAAAGAGGAGACATTCATCTGCTCGTGTGGTCACGAGAGCTTACACTGTGGACTCAAAAATTATTCAGTATGTAGCTGTAACTGAACATGACCACATCTAAAGACCCTGTCACAATGTTTGAGACAACTTATGAAAGCTTTAAAGATGTCTGTGTTGAAGATGGAGTTAAAAACATCAACTGGAAACCTCTTATAGAGATGTCATACTGTAATGCTAACAAATAATCAAATATATAACTTTTATTATTGATTTAGAAATAAAAAGTGTCCATAAGTTGTCTAAGTGTTATACAGGGTTTTTATCTTTGGTACTGTATGWCATATTTTCTCATTTAGCTTTTGTACAACCGTGGCATGAAGGTACGGAGGAACCTTCTGCACTGATTCTAGACCGAGCTCATTGTTCTAAAATCACAACTAAAACCATCCAGACTGAGACCACTTTGTAAGAATAATAGTACATTATAAATAAATATAAACCTGTTTACTGAGTTCATTAGGCTCTTCTGTTTGGTTCTTGCAGCCAGTAACAACCAGTGAAGGTCTACACTGCAAAAACTGTCCATCTAACCAAGTTTTAAAATCCTATATCCACCCAAAAAACAACCTTTTTGATCTTGTTTTGAGACTGATTTACTAAATAATTACTTAATAATCTCGTTATCAGATCATTTAAAGATTATTTGACTTGTTAGCCTGAAAATTTGACTCAAATCAAGTGAAACCTCTWAACGTTCGTAGCATTAACGGACCCACCTACAGCAGGTAGAACCGTGCTCTTTGACTCCAGTGCTGCCTGCATGGTGCCAACTCGTATGTGAGCGATAAGTGAGTTTAGGCCCGGATGGAACAGAACCACCTGCAAGACAAAGTGTTGATGATCAGAAAGGTAATTAACTGGATTGATTAGTTTATATTTTTTAATTAATCTGAGTCAGTCTGAAACCACACGGATGTAGAATATAAAACAGAGTATCGTCTGCATACGATGATAGCGCTGGATGTTTTTCTTCTAAACAGACAATCATGTAAATTATTTTATAAAATTACCAGACTAAATTAAATCATTTTAAATCTACACTCATTATTAGAACTTAACACAGTGTAGCCC